ATGTAACGTATGACAAAGACAATGCAACGTCACGTAAGTCCCGGGAAGTCATTGATTGGTCGGCGCAAGCGTGCGCAGGCGCATTGCCGGCCACGTGCAGTAGTGCCGTGGAAAACCTGTGTACCCACTTTCAACAGTGGTGTCACAAAATAGAGGTCTAAAGATGAGTCATTTTAATAGATTTTTTTGGTAGGTATATTCAGAAATTGTCGTGACAAAATTATTCAAATGCAGAGCATTAATTTAGTTTACTTAATTTTATGTTTAATTCTTTACATAATGTGAATTTTATTAGTTTAGTAAATTTTGATTTAGACTTTTTTCTGTTGGATAAAAAAATATCATGGAACAGAACGAGTGAGAGAATAACCTTGTCAAATCATCCAATGAAGCAACGACAAGGAAAATAAAGGTGTCACTAGAAAAACCACTTATATATATAAAACACTTCTGTATAATAACATACGATGGCGGACTTAATGCCGGGTGGCATTCTCTAACACACTTATGTATGTAATTAAAAATATTCACGATGTTTAACTATCTCAATCAACATACAAACTTACCTGTCCAGTGGACACTTAATAGCAATAATTATAAACAAAGATCCAATTGTATACTATTAATATTAAGAGATACGATCAAGTATGTGATGATGTGGTGTCTAGAACTGCTGAACGGAAGCACGGGACTTAGATCTTAAGATGTGTTTGATTGCTGCGTGAGAGAATGTTGTCTAATGGAAGCATTGTTTAATAAGATACTATTTGAATAACATAAAGTGAACCGTTCTATGTGACAGTTACATTGTCTTCTAGAAGTTACGGAAGAAAGTGTCTTGAAGTAGGACGAATTTTAACAGTTAGAGGCGTCACTGTTTTCAAATCTGACCTTTGCAACAACAAAATATGATTTGTATTGTAACTTTCGTGAGACATACCAAATAAATTATTATGTTATCGGCTTCTCACGTAATAATTTGACGAGGAACTCGACTAGTTTCAAGCCACGCTAGAGGCTCATATTCATGAGCAGCATTTCGCGACCCGCGACGCGGCGACTGTAGTGCTGCTACTAGTCGAGTTCCTCGTCAAATTATTACGTGAGTAAGCCGAAAACATAATAACAAAATATGACCATGAAAAATTGAACCATAATGTTTGTGATTGATTTTGTTACTGCATCAGCATTGTGATGACCTGAAAGGTAATAATTAGTTATTGCAAATGCCAAATTGGTTTCGAATAAATGCCTTAAAATTTATTGTAGGTCGCCATTTATTTTTTTGTCTTGAGTTTGGTACTTCTGTGTAACAATCTCTATGATCATCTGATCTGGTCAGTTCACAGTGTCCACTTTATCCCGCTCGGCTGCACTGTCATTCACGTGAGCTGTCTATTTGTCATCTCGGTTATAACCTGACATTGAATCCCTCCAAGAGACACGTCACGTGTAGGCTCAGTGAGACTCACCTATCCCATTCATACTGTACTACTATCGGCCAGTCGTGATAACCTATCTTTCGGTAGTCAAATCTACCAACGGATAGGTCATTGAGATTGGTCATCGGGAGACAGCACTTCCAAAATTATAGGTATTTGATGACTGAAAATTTTATATTTTCTCATTAAACTTAATAATTTTAGAAGCATTATTTTTTGCTTTTAATAGGTTTATGCGCATTTAAATTTAAATTATTTTTAGACATTCGTCGCTCATAAAAGTAATAATGGTCGACACCACACAACGTGACATCAGATTTATTCTTTTATTTAGTTCAATTCTTTTGTAGTGCCACAAAAGCTAAAAGAATACTACAGTTGTTAAACTCCTACAAAAGGTCATTAGAGTCAAAAACCATAGCAATAATAATGTAACTGAGCAAATTGTGCGAATGTAGAAGTCTTAGTGTAGACGTAGGTAATAATAAAGCTTGATGTTAATAGTAATAGCAGTGTACATAATGGGTACGAAAAAATATAATAATAATTGCAAAGACTGGTTTTCCCAGTCTTACCCCATTTTGTGGACCGGCTACAAATCTTATTCGAATGAGTTAGCTTGCAAGGAGGGTTAATATAAAAACGGCCAGCAACAATCTGATAGCGGTTTTGAAATTGGAATGAATAAAAAATAATTTTTTTGTTAAGTTATGCCATTCAAAAAGGTTTCAATCAGAGGTAGTAGAGCGACATACAATTGTAAAAGCTTAAATATTAATTAATTTCCTTAATCGGATTATCTAAAATTTTTATTAGGTTTTGCTTATTTATTGATTTTACATGTGTATTTTGTTCGTATGGCATTCCGTCGGCAAACCTATGAATGAATTAGTAACACCATTGTGACTGTCCTTAAGAAGATTATGCTAATTACTCTCTGGTAAGACCTTTGTGAAGTACTATTGTCTCCGCAGCAGACTATGTCCTTGTGGGTTACAAATACTTATTGCGTACTTACACATTAAGCTGATAGGAAAGTTTCATTCCTTTACAATAATGGTTATTACGCCATTTTCTATTTACCTATAAAAGTTTTTAAACGATATCTTGGGTGTTGTTAGTGGTAACAGTAGGGGGCGACACTGAGAACATAATGCCAACCTTTTTGGAGAGATCCTCGAAAAGGCCAGGTGCGGTACTTTTAACTGGCCTGCTTATTATGAACAGAGATATAAATGTATTGGATGCTAAAGAAGTATGTAAGTAATTTAAAATTTAATAGAAATGCCATCCTTTAGTTTTCGCCCTAATGTATGTGACACACAAGGCGTATTTTTGGTGTGTGTTTCATACGTACAAATAGGAAAGTTTTATTAAACAAACAGTTTTTATTCCACAACTTGGACATGTTAAATGTTAATGTAAATCATTCGTAAAAAGCCTTTGAATATTTTACGGAGTATCAGGTTTCCTAAATAATTTATTGTAGTTTTTATTGTTCCAGTATTGACTGCGGCAGGTGCGCTTACGCAACTTAGTAATGCAAACTGTTTGAAAAACGAATTTCCTGTTTCACTTTTATTTAATTTAGGTTAATTTGTTTAATATCGGTGTTTACACAGATAACATCGCATGTACTGGCAAGTCGTGTAGAACGCTGGAACCTATGTAAAATAAATGTTTTGACAAATCTGGAATTAGCATTAGGTACATCCTATTAGCTCAGGTTTTATTGCTCTCGTGGTCTATTTGTTCTACATTTATCAGAATGAATTAATTATCCTTTTTCTATATTTAGAAATCATACACTTTATGTGCACAGTCTTTCTCTGGATAATAGATACATTCCACGTATAAAATGTAAGGTAAGGCTATTTTTGCATGTTCGGTTCTTTGATGGTTCTTTATAGAACATCTATTTTGACTCTCAGTAAAGTATAGTAGGTATATAAGTCTAAATTATTGCAGTATTTATTCACTTGTACATGGAGTAAGCACATTCTTCAAAGTCATAGTTCTTTGCTGTTTTTGTACATAGTTTGGTGCTCAAATATTGACAATAACCGCAAAGTTTCCGGCTTCCGTGCGGTGGACGGATTCGATTCCTGTGTAAGGACAAATATTTGCGTGACCTACAGATTTCACGTGGTATTTGTTGTAGTTTGTTTGTGTATGTGTATTAGTAGTGACTAGTGAGTCAGGGCATGGTATAGTAGTGAGTGGCCGGCGTTTATTTAATGAAATGGCTTCAGTTTACTAATAAATAACTGCGCGATTACTGCTTAGCTCTGTATTTAATCAACAGCGTCTATTGCAATGTATAGCAGCTTGTTAGCACCCAGTATGTATATTAGTTGCTGATAATTAAACGATTGCTAATTATAAATATACACACAAATAATATAAATGGATTGTAAGCCTATATATTTCAGCTATATGTTGTCTTCGTCATTCAAACTCATGTCGAAATACTTACGAAACTAATTAATTAAACTTATTTATATTTGTGAAGGATGTACGGATTGCTTTTTTAAATAAAAAAGGTTGAGTATTGAGAAATGTGGAAATTGCGAACCAGTACCTCTTCAGGAAATACTAGATTTCGTTTCTTGTTAATTGTTAACGAATCACCTTTATTAATGAATCGGAAGAAGTCTACATAAAATGTAATTTATTCGACGGATAGCTTCATGTGTACAGTATACGTGTTACAAGTAATTCATTACTTCTAGACCGTCCGTATTCATGTCTAATGTGTAATTGCACTCGTTTACTAAAATCTAATCATAGTAAAGAAATCTGACACTATTAAATATTGCTTACTGATCGTAATATAATACGAAATTGATTAATCATGTCATAATACAAACAAACAGACAGGCATACAAGATCTGTTTGCAACAGTTGGGAAGATGATTTAGTTTCTGTGTTACGACAGGCGGCAGTATGTTTGCAACTAATTCGTGAGATGTCGCAAGGGGTCTCGCAACAATGTCGTAACTACACTTCACTCACTTTACTATAAATCCAAGTTATCGACTGCACACTGCCCGAGTTTACTACAACACTCACAATTTGCGATAGCGTGACTTTGAATATTTCGCAAGCACATCATACATGACATTATGTAAGAGTAACGGTTCATGTTGTTTAAAATTCGTGTCAAAGTCAGACTACCGCTACATTATGATTAGCATAGAGCAAGTGATAAAAGGACCGACGTATCGACATATCGAGGCTGTACTAACATGGAAAGTTCACGCTATTTCCTCTGTTTACCGTTTCTGTTTGTCTACTATGATTCATCTTACATCTCAGTACTTAGTAACTTCAGGGTATGTTTACATTGCTTCAGTTGCCGTATTGTCTTACAGGCCTTTATAAGGACGTTGTCAATATGTGTTTGATCGGAATGTAGGTGACATATATCTATATACCTACTCAATTATAAAAAGTAAACCTATGTAGTTAACACTACTTAGAGGTAATATTAAAAATAGTCATGTTTGAATCTTTCCAGTAAATAAATAGTTAGTAAGTATAGAGAGTGTGACTCACTGGTGTATATGGTGGCGCAGGTGGACCGGTGGCAGGCGAGGCAGGACTCCTTGCCGTCCAGGCTGAGCGTGAGCGTGGGCGCGAGGCTGGGCCGCGGGCACAGCTTGCAGCCGCCGTTGTACTTCTCACACAGACACACGTTCTTGTCCAGCCCGTCCACCTTCAGCTCGTTTAGCCCGAACTTGTCGCATTCCTGCTTGGCCAGCGAGGCGGCCAGCTTGTCCGACTCCTTGAGGAAGTCGCAGGAGTGTGGGCACACGTGGCACCGGTTGGCCTCCAGGTTCCTGTTGGACTCGGAGTTCATGTTGTCATTCTGGTTGGTGTCCAGCTCGGGCTCCTTCTTGTTGGTGCTGTCCGTGCTGCCCGTCATGTACGACGTGAGGGTCACTTCAGACGCGGAGCGCACGGTATTGTTCAACTTATACTTCGTCATGTTTCAGTCTCGTTACACAGAATTAAAATATTGTTTTGAACGCCGACGCTCGAGACATTTTATTTCGACCGCCGCATTTGAAATTATTTACTAATAGTAATCACAACACTGAGGAATTATATTAATTTAGTGTTCATTATTATCACAGATGGTGTAGGAATGTTTGTTTGTCACTAAGTGTCGTTGTAGCCGCGGATTGTTTTACAATATTGTTGTATGTTGTGTTGAAGTTCGTCGATAAACTCGTATTTATTTATGTGTAGTGTGCGAGTGTGGTCGGCCGCCGCGCTCTGCCGACTGTGGCGAGCGAATGACTGGAACTGTGGCGAAATGGCGCGAAATCACCAGCGGCGCCCGGCGACCACGACCGCTGAAAAAAAGGGGTTGTCGTTAGCATAGAACTTGAACAAGTTTGCGGGACCTTGTAAGTTAGACAGGTGAGGGGCCACGCCGCTTATGTCACTACTGCTCACTGGTGACATTACTGGCGAATGCTGGTGGTTCACAGTTCGAGTAAGCTCTGTAGCATTAATAGTAGGACGGCAGGGAGCCACCGCTGACGTCACGCAGAACTTTCCAATGTTTTGTATTCAGGTCACTGTCGGAGGGCTACCAACTACTGCGAGGATCTCAAAATATTTACGTAATTAAAAGAGAAAATATTATTTAATAGACGACTCGTGGAAGGACGAACCAGACAAATTGTTTACTCACGAAGATGAAGTAGATTTGACCAAGACCTGCGTATTGTACTTCACGGAAGGTTTTCGACAGTACGACAGACAGTAAGCAACCTGTAATGAATGCGTGTAATAGATGTGTCATCTACATGATAATGTATGAAAAACTGAAAATATCTGAAACATTTGTATGACGTCCGTACAAAGTAACGTAATAGCTAATTTAATAACAATTACATTGTATGTAACGCGAAGAATTTTGTTTTTAAATTATTTAGTTAACTACCAATAAACCTTGTAACTAGCGTGTGTGTGAACTGATTCATACTCTGAAGGGCCTAAACTAAGATATTAACGTTAGATTGTTTTAACTAATACAAGCTGTAATGTTTAAATTTATTCTAGATATTTTATACGAAACCTAAAGTTAATAATAGTATATATATAATAATAGTATATAGTTAGGGTAATAGCAGTGTAGTGTGTGGATGGATGAGATACACTACAGTCATAATAGATGATATCAATTATGTATTATGTTTCATGATAGAATAGCTAGATGTCTATTCACTGCAAATTAAGAGATAGTTCAGTTTGTTGGCAACCTTTCAGTAATTCTATGACAACAAAGTCAGCGACAGTAATGGTACCAATATTGTTCAGTAAAAGCTACGCAGTACTCGTAGTAAGAAACGCGTTGGTCGTTTGTATCATTTTAAGACAGCACACTTTTATCCCAATAACGACACGGGTAATAATAATACCTAACTGATCTCAGTACAGATCGGTTCAGACAATAATTATAATTCAATTTAATTTCTGTCAAAACCATATTAGATGGATAGAGATTATTTTAGATTAACATTGTTTAATGATTTCAGTGTTTCGTCCTACTGAATTACCTACTTATTCGGTGGTCTATAAGCAGAGTATTTATATTGACAAAATGTTGGAACACGGCTCAAGTTGTTGGTATATTTGTTCCTTAAAGTTGTGAGTTAAGGAATATATCTTTTTCACACTCCTGAATACATTTTGAATGAAAGAAGGATGATGAAAGGAGAACCAATGTGAAGTCGAGTCTATTGTAACCCGGAATAATGTTTCAGTGTAACCAATATCTCCAACATAGTTATGCATAACATTTTTCAACCAGTTTTTGCTGGCTTTTATTATAATAATGTATTGTCGTTTGTCACAATCTGCAGTTTCCTGTGCCGTGTCGTGTAAAAAACTAATGGTATCTAATTCGTTTTCATGATGTAGCATTACATGTCGTATTATAAAATATATATTAAATTGGTAACTTCAAACATACACGGAGGACTGTAATCATAATAAAATTGTCAGGTCCACAGAAAGATAGATAATTTTGCTAAATAATTATAGTTCTTGCATCGGTAATGGCTATGTATTAGTGACTATTGTAAATAAGTAGTCTATTATTTACGTTAATTTGTTTATTTGTATGTTTTTTATATAATGGGATAGTACCTGTTGCATGTGTAGTTTTTATTGTTATGAATATGATGCGAAGATATGAGCCTGCAATACAAGGTGTAGTTTTGAAACCGTGGCATTTCTCGGGGGCATGTCACAGAAGTCATAAAGGTTCAATATAAGAGAAAGTTTCGGGCCAATAGTTAAAAATACGACTATAATAAATCGTATAAGTTCGACAGTATTTCAGAATAAGCGACAGAAATGTTTCTTATTGGAGTTTTATGGAATTAGGAATAATATCAATTACGTTTTTGAGTTTGTGTGTGTTAAGCCGCAAAATAAAGCTAGTTACAAGATGGCGGAGTGTAGTTCGCACTTACGGATTTCCGTAATTTACAGAAAAATGAAAAAAAAAAACAATACCTACAATTTTTTTATTGATTCGGACTCAGAATCGATAGCAGAGTTACCTCCTAGAAAATAACGCGGCTTTAAAACAACACCTTGCATAGTGAGTATGACACCTATGTTTTGTCCACTGGAACAGTTTTATCGAGTAAGCGTACACATAAAAATCTTACTTACAATGTACGGACTACGGACTGACGCGCGACCGCTGCCTGTATGTATATTGTATAGTGAGATAAGTTTACTTAAATGAAACGCCTAGGTGTCGTGTCTCGCTGCATAATTTCAAGTTATTTGTTTTTATCATCAAAAATTCTAACAAAGTCATCGTAAAGAATTTTAATAAATATGACTAGTTGAATACCTACCGACCATAAAAATATTTTAAGAATTGATGAAACTCCAAAATATGTAATTAAAAATAAAAATTGTATTAAGTGTGAGAAAACCGTAAAATTTACATAATAATGCAAATAAAGTAAAGAATAATGTAATAAAAATTTCAAACGTTTACAAAAAGAACCGCCCGAACAGGGACTTGAACCCTGGACCCTTGGATTAAAAGTCCAATGCTCTACCGACTGAGCTATCCGGGCTCTGACATAGCAGGTTGAAATTTATACTTGCTATCTACATGGATGTCAAAATGTAGTGAGTGACGTAATTTATTTTTATTGTCGTGCAAAACACGATAATAATGAATAGTAATTAACATCGTGCGTAAATCAAACAGATAAATTATTGTAGTTCGCAATTTGGATCAAAATATTTGTCAGTCAACTTTAGACTTTACATCTTAGGACACAAGGCCTAAGATAAGATGTCACATAGTTTAGCTAATAATCTTTTAAGCATTTCAGGAACTGCCTTGGACCTAATGTATTCTATTGACTGAAGATGACGTCATCTAAGTGATGTGACGATCTCCGTACATTAAACTCTGAAAGAGCGCCGAATTATAAAGAGAACAGAATTATACTTAATTTCCAAGTCATTACTAAACACAAAGAAATGACTTCATCACTTCTGAGACTAGATTTATTAATGCTAAGTTCTAAAAGTCCTCGGGTCGAGATGAACAATGGATTAGATAGAATAGCAATCTGTTTTTTTTTATTTATTGTCGTAGCTCGTAGCTACGTAGCACGTAGACGTCTTGGGATATCAAAAAGAGATGTTGAAGATTTTTGCAAAGGTTTTGTAATAATATCAATATAAGGTCGTAGGTAGGTCAGAAGTAGATACTAGATATCATAGTTCCCAAGTACCTAAGTTAAGTGAGTGAGCCCTTGTACTTCACTCAGCAAATAGCACGTAAGTGAACGTTACTTGAAATATCTTATGGTATTCCGTGTGTACTCCGCACATGGTACACCGGTGTAAACAGCAGCACATCAACGTACCCGAATCACTCAAATACTCACAATTGATTTTCGATTCTAACACTTTGTGATAAAGTCGAAAATGTGTTACAGAACGATACCAATTTGGTATAACTTTATGTGCTTTTTATACGTTTGTCAAGGCCATTGACCCGAGGTCGTGCGGGCCTTAGCCTTGAGTCGCCCTGCCAGGAGCGACACACGTGGTGTTTGTGTCTACAGGGGGAACTCTTAGCTCTCAGGTATATGAGGCACTTATAGGAAACTGAAATGGTGACTTAATTAACATAATTATAAAGTTAAAAATCTATTAAAGTAAGACAGACTAGTTTGAAGTAGATCAACTTAAGATTTTGATTTGGTATTGGTATGTTAGAGGGTTAATTGTTGTTTTTACCTATACAGTAATTATTTAGTAATGTATGACCCGGTTTTAACATTTAAGTCAAATATGTCGGTTTTGAGTACTATGTAAAACAATCGATACAATGGAGCAGCCTTCGAGACAATGACAGTTTCTTGTGCATTGAGATTTAACAAGTGACGGGACTTTTCAACAACATATTTTAATGGTTTTGTTAATAAGTAGTAAACGGAACCCTCCCGAAAAACGGTGAAAATGAGAAAAAAACAATTTTAATCTTTTTTTATGTTTTATTCATGCAACATCAGCCTTGAGCGGTTGAGTACAACTATTATTAAATAAAAGAAAATAATAATTCCTTACTTCGGTTGAAATAAAGGAAACTTGTTTTTGACCATCACACACACCTGTTGGCGATTTTCGAGATCCTTCCGTTCACATCCTGTATAAATAAAATAGATATATATGTAGTTTGTATACTCACATTAATCAAAGGAAATTGTCGTGTCACCCAGTTGCAATAACAACCCTAGCGCAGCTTTTATACAGCAACCGAACAGTCACAATCGAAATCTAATAACCTATATTAATTAAGTAGTTTTTTTTTAAATGTGATTTCGAATACATTTGCCACAGTCACGATTACCACAAAATTAACAATTCAAAAAAACTCAGAGAAATAGTTACTTTGCCTTTGATATAAGTTCTAAGTATTTTATTTCCTAGCTGTCGAAGGTCACAGGATTCCGAAGAATTACAATCACTGATCGTGACACTTTATTCATGATTTATAATGGTTTGTACAGACGGGATACTGGTTGGCAACATTTTTTACTGAAGTCATTATTTAGGTCAATTTCACTGAAACGAGTTGAAGTTTTTCTAGAAAGTAACTGAATAATTCAGTAGTTATTGATAGATAAACGATTTTCAGCACACCCATTAATGATTATATTTCACAGCATGAGATTCTTAGTACAATATTCACCAGAAATAGCTGTAGTCAGTATCTAAGTGAAGGTTTTATGATATGATCATTTTCAGTGAACCTACAAGTAAGCATATAACTGAAGGTTTTTTTAATCAACTTCTTATTTATTTTACATTACCTATAACTAGTTCATAGGTTTTTAACATTTGACTTATCACACAGAGATGTAGTAGGTAAATGTTGCGCCACAGTCGGGCAACTTTTAGTGTAGCAGTCTGAACAAGTGCTTACATGCTGTGGCAGAGAAGACCGTGCAATGTTAGTTATATATTTCATCAGAGCTTGCAGTTATGTATTAACTATTAACACACTCTTCGTGGAATTATAAAACATACATTAATATGTATGTCAGGAAAACCCTGATCAATCTAATCTTCCTCTCAAATAATATACCTTATGCATAATAGCAATAAGGACTAGGCATTTGTTGTCATAGAAACATTTGGTAAATTTGGTTCTGATCCTGTTGTGGTGACCTAGCTGAATGATAAGGAAGCTTTTACATAATTAGGGTACGGGTTTAGAACCGGACAAGTAGGTACCTTATACCTACCTAATTGAGATTTACCGAGTAATGTGTACTTTGTAATTTTTTCAAAGAGACTAATACTAGAATAATAACTTGATTTCGATATATAAGATTGTTAATGCTACTTTCTTTTAAGTATGAGACGAGCCCTTTGCTACTTATTCGGCAAAGTGCCACTATTCAGTGGAATAGATACAAATATCTAGATTGAAATATTTATTTGTGTCCATTTTCAAATTTTAAGTATAAACGTAGTGTATTATTCAAATAACCATAAATGTGCGCTTAAATATATTAAAAAAAAAAATAAAAAAACGACAAATTATTCTTGCGTTTACGGTTAATTAAAAATTACGATACTTACACGGCAAAAAATAAATTTAAAATGGCAAAAGATGAGTTGATTATGTCGTTATTATTTTGATTTTTTCGTTATAATAATAGTCGGCAGGCAGTAAATTGACATAATGATGTTTACAGCTCTCATTATGTAAATAACTGCGAGTAAATACCTACCTACGTGTGTAATATTATAATATGACGAATTTACATGAAATTACACAACAATCTTGTATTCTCAGAAGTAGTGTTGCATGTCTTCTCTGACGACAACATGTGGATGGCAATGACAATGTAGGAATAGGATTTATTAACATAATAATGTAGCAGGTGCCACGTTATATTTGTCAGCAGATACCTAGGCCTTCATGACTATATTCCCAGTCATTTTGAATTGATTGCTTCATCACTTACTGAAATGACTTGACTATCTTTGTTGAATACACAATTGTCTTCAAAGATAGTCATAACATATTGATGTTAGATAATTTTTCTATGATTTAGAAGTAGGTTCAGAATGTACCTATAATATGGATTAAAAACTGTAGGAAGAACGCGTGACCACTTCTTTAGAGAGTAGCTAACATCATTTTCTGTGTAGATAGTAAGTTTTGTACCTGCAACATTATGTGACTTTATCTTGGCTAACTATAGTAATAGACCAATGTTCATAGGTGTCGCCACCAATTAGTGCATAAGTAAGTATGTAATATGTAACTCCCTCGTTGGCAGAGTGGTCGCAAGTGCGGGGCAACAGGTCTCAGATTCGATTACTGGTTTTTTTTTAATTCTCAATAGTAGCACGGAGTCTGGAATTGTGCCCGGTAGGCTCACCGCTATTACATGGGACTCATAACATAAATAGAGGGAAATTGGGTGTTACATCGTACAGTGGCATAATATGCTCCTCTGCATACCGCTTTTGGGGATAAAGGGCGTTGTTATTTTATGTAATATGTGTGTAGTGAATACTTTGTTATGAATATATGTAATTACTGTTACACAGAACACATAAACCTTTTTTATATGTTCTGTGGTTACAATATGTATTAATGGTATAAGTTATTTCAGCAACAAACAATTCTTGCGATCTAATTGCATGATTACCATCTTCAGTACATTCGATTGCAATGTAACCAATCAACTATTTGCGTTATTACCACAATCACCATAGATCGACATTACTCGCTAATCTCACAATTATACTTAAAGTATTGTGTTTAAGTATATATTTGCTTATCTATAAGAAACTAATTGAGAATGTTAATCCTTTATGGAATTTTGTCTGGGTAATATAATGGTTTCTTTGTATTTATTTCATTACTAGCTTTTACTCGCGGCTTCGCTCGCGTCACAAAAGGATAAAAAGTAGCCTATGTGACATATACCAATACACACAGCGCCATCTATTCCAATAATTTCGTTTTCCCTCGAGAATATATTTTTTTATAAATAATGCCCTATTATTTAATCCAGACTTCTAATTTCACATCTGCAAAAATTCAAAGCAGTGGGTTTAGTAGTTACGGCGTGAAAGTGGAAAAAACAAACAAACAAACTCACTTTTCGATTTATAATATTAGTGGAATTGATCTTATTTTTACCATTACTTATAATTTCCTTCCATTCTCCGATACTAGATCATCTCATCGCAAATCCATCATTTTCTTGGTTGTCCTTTTTCGTTTGGGAAAATTCTGACGTTTATTATCCTTTGGAACTCCCCCAAATATAAATATTATCAAAGTTATTAATACAACTATTAGGACATGGTGCGCACTAAAATATAAATAGACAACAATAAAACTTAAGGAAAATGTAAGAGTTAGGTGCTAAATATTTGTGTTAGTTCTTTTTGTGGTAACAAATAATAAAATTAATTCCATTATACTTATTTTACAGAGAATGAATACTCAAATGTCAGAAGGTATAATTTATTGGCACTTTTTTCATACATTCCTTAGTTATCGACTGAGTGTGGACGCACGGTGTTTTGTGATCATACTTATGCAAATGTGTCGTTGCCTCAACTACTAAGTACTCAATATTAAGTTCTAAGTTATTCGTTTCAACAAATGAGTCACTAAGTTGTGACTTGGAGGCATAAATGCTTTTACACGAAGGTTTACTTTTTCACCAGCATTTCGCAGTGGATTGAAAAGATATCCTTATTTCAGTCCCGATCCTGTGAGAATTAGGTATCTACGGAATACAACGTATTTAACCCTTCTCCTTGAAAAAATAATGATTACCTATACCATTATTTTTCATTCTATCGCTGGAAGAATTTTTCAAGTCAATCTTTAGCAGGCAGATATCTCATGAAAAGCAATATTTCAGGATTTTCGAAGTTTTCCTGACGGTATAATTTACTACTGGATCTTCCCTTACTAAGCAATCTTGATTATTCTTGGTTACATCTAGTTATCAAACGCAGTACGAATTATAAAGAAATATTTATCTTCGCATTTTTGCACGAACTACCTGGAGAAGTTTCGAGAGGCCCTGCCTCGCCAATGTTTGTTATCAAAAAAGTCTAGTACAGTTTTTACTTTTTATTTGAGAACTTTTTCTACATTAACATTACCGCTACATAGATTCCATCTAGCTACATACACTACTGTCACCTGTCAGTCAGTCTGTCACATAAATGAAGTTTCTGATTGGTTGATACAAGTTCATTGACTCTAGTTGAGATGATGTATCAAAGTCACGAACTTATTAAGGCAATAATTATTTTTTGTTCCTTCATTGTATTGAGATTATAGCTTAAGCTCTGATTGCCCTCTCGCGTCCGGGCCTAGTGCAGGCCATGATGCGGAGCGAAGGGGACTGGGATGCCGTCTCCTCCTTTTGCGAAGCAGTCATGCTAGCTAAGGAGGAGGCGGGACGCGTGAGGCAGCGAAGCGCTGCCTCCTCGCAACCCAGCCATCGCGAAGGACACACCGGGCGTCGGGGATCGCGGGACGATCTCCGGCCACCGTAAGCGCGGGCCTGCGGACGGCGAGCATGGGTGGCTCCCCGTCCGACCAGAAACAGACCCGAGCGTACGGCGCGTCGCGTTCCGCGCGCGCCTCAAAGAGCCATCAGACCACCACAGATGGGGCCCAATAGGGCCGATGCCGATTCGGAGTCGCGGAGAACCTAACGGGTAACCGGGGCTCCGGCTCGACGTGCAGGAGAAGGAACGGGGTGGTTTTTAGTCAGTAAGAGTCTGACACTCCCTTCCGCCTCACCCAGGCGGGAGCAGTCATTCGATGATTTTCCACCCTTAAAAAAAAAAAAAAAGCTCTGATTGTGGTTTTAGATCGAATTATTTATAGAAGGATAATAATTAAACTGCAATATAAAAATATAAAATTATATTTGTGTATTTCCCCGTAGGGTATTGATTAAATTAGATCTTTGACATTGTAGGTATATTATAAATAGCCTGTGTGCTTACAATGTCACTAGTGCCACGGTACTGTTACTGCGAATTTGGAATTCATTTATCAAATAAAATATTTTGACCTAACCTAGAAATCGGTGACCCGTACCTAAATCAAGATGGCCGTGGCAGTCCTTTTAGATAAAATAAATAAATTACAAAGCAGTAACTGTTCCACTGTTCCTAACGGTCGATCATGTATGTATGTACATACATTTGAACGTCGAACTTGTATGCGGCATGTCAATTTCATCGTACGAGTCACGTGCGAGCGGAGTAGCGCGCGTGCGCCACGTGCTGGGGCGTGACGTCACAGTGACACGATGACAGATCATGGTAGGAAGGCCTACTTTATGGAATCTGTGGAAATTTTACAATTTACGCTTCTTTACCACCTGCGAGTGGAGGTCAACGAAATTCGATAAAAAGCGTAAGCGTATGTCAATACATATTAAGTAGGATATTAGGCAATGGTCAGTGGTGTCTTCTAAAAGCTGTTATTGTAAAGTATATGAAGACAGAACAATTTTTGATTATCAGCTCCTTTTAACAGCTAGCTTACAAATTGTTGTATCGCATTTTTCTCTCGCAATAATGTAGAGTTTTTTTATAGCATTTAAAAATTAAAATTGGTACATAAAATCTGACAAGGCCTTCTACTATTTCTTTTATATCATGTCTCTTCTTCTGAGAACAAACTCTCACCAACACACAACTTATTATTGTATTACCGATACTGTCATTTGTCGGATGGAGGCGTAATCACTATTAATTGACAACAATTAATTACTATATTCTCTAACAAAAGGATTACAAATAGAAAACTGTTTTTTTTCTAGTTTTTTATTTCAATGATTGGATGTGGTCATGGTTTTTATAACGAAGTTATTGATTTGTACGCCGCCTGATGCGTACAGTTATTAAATTAGATAAAGAAACTAGATTTGCTCGCGATGTTACTTCTCTATTTTACCAATGGCGAAGTACTGTACTACATAGTATAAAACAAAGTCGCTATCCGCCGTCTGTCTGTCCCTATGTATGCTTAGATCTTTGAAACTACGCAACGGATTTTGATGTTTTTTTTTAATAGATAGAGTGATTCTTAAGGAAGGTTTATATATATAATACATGCATATTGCACCCGTGCGAAGCCGGGGCGCGTCGCTAGTACTTAATAATTCTAGCTTTTTCAAGATTTGTGTCTAGTAATTAAAGCGAGGACGATTCATTTCTGGTCTTGGAGCAGTAATCATGTGGACAGGGTAATCGCTCATTTCCTATGACGAGCTGTTCTGTCATATATTAAACTGTTACTATGTATGTTATGGAAGAAAGTGCTGTTCTATGTACTGTAGACATACAAACATTTCCTTTAAATTCAATAATTTAAACGTTAGTTTCGATTGGACCGACAAAGATTAAGTGTGGGAGAGCCATGCTTCGGCACGAATGAGCCGGAGCGACCGGAGTGATACCACGGCCTCACAGAAAACCGACGTGAAGCAACGCTTGCGTTGTGTTTCGTCGTGTGAGTGGGATTACCGGAGGCCAAATTACCCCCTCTCCCCAGTCTCCCCAATATCTGAATCCTCCACAATCGTCAAATTCCCAATTTCTAAAAGGCCGGTACCGCACTTGTAACGCCCCTGGTGTTTCTGGTGATCCGTCTATTCGTTTACCGGCTTATCCCATAAAAAAATAAAGAAATATTTTTTGTTTCTTGTAAAAGAAAAAAGTAATGAAAGCGAAATATAATTCGGAAAATCGGAAAATGGTATACTTGGAAGGGACATACCGCTAGTACACGTAAGTGCCTGATGCAGTTGGTTTAGAAAATACTTTCTTCCCCAGTCAAATTAATTAGTTTAAACACACGTACGTGCTTTATTTAAGTAATACTTAACTGCGAGCCTAAACATGACATGTAACTAAAATAAGCCACTTATCTATGCTTTGTTTTAACTATAACTTTGTTATTATTTCTATTCCTTGTATTAAGACTGGAATTAAAACTATAAAGTTAATGTATATCACGTATTAAACTATATCATGACGAATTATTACAATTCAGCACAAACCTTCTTAGTATTTGAACTACCTGATAAGTCTAGTGCCGGATGCACCACTTAGCAAGAGTATCGAGTCCCGGAACCGAAATATCGATAAGGATTCGTGCAAATCGAGCCCATTTCCACCTTTGCATAGTTTTTTGAAGACATCAGATGAAGGGATCCCAATTCTATAAGAGGTCTCTTACATAATTATTTAATCCGTTCCTGTATACGATTTACTGCCTTACGTCAAACTCATTCAGTATTGTAGTCTCTGCGTATTTGTATACAGTTCTGCTGATGTTGCAAAAGAAAACGAGAGTGACGATTATTTAAACAACAACAACAATAATGACAACGACTACGAAGCATTCTAATGTGTGGCATAATGCCGGCACCCTATACGTACGTACTGCTATGAAAAAGTTTGTTTTACCATTTTGAGTGGCTACGAATATTTTCCCACAATTTCCGCGTTTATCTTAATTTAACCCCGAAACGGAAATAATTGTCGCAAAAAATAGTTCCAAATTGTAAGTAATTACGCCCAGTATGCGACATTTTTCAAACATTTGCAAATTACTTCCCAAAACTGCCGCCGAATTATCTAAATAATTATATTTAATCGCATTGTATTACGTGACACAGTTGACATGACAAAAAATCTCGAATAAAAAGTAAATAGCTTCGATATAAATAAGTAATTACCTAATTGCGAATGATTGGTCCAACCTGACGAAGAATTCCTACGAAGCATGTTTTAGTTTTATAAATAATAGTGTCGAATGTTAATGATGATAATTTGAAGAGTATTTAATTTCGTGTTGACCATAAATTAAGACGAGAGAACTGCAAGGTGAAGAAGTCACGATAGCGTGTCACTGCGCAGCCAGTAATAATGGCTTCACGAACATAAATCATTTACCGTCGGATTACTGTGAATTATCTGCTGATTGCATACACTTTATCATTGTAGAGACGTTCAATTAATGTTTGACAGTTCTTCGTGTCTGAAATACAGGTGGTAGGAAGATTGATTACAGTGACCACTTGTAGGTACTTTGATATCACGGAACACGTTTTTTTTAATGGTATACGACTAATAACTAGCAGGCGGATCGCCTGATGGTATGATATCAAGGACACCCGCAACACCGAAGGAGTAACAAGTGCGTTGCTGGTCTTTTCGGGATGGGGAGAAGTCTCCGGTACACACACGACGAAACATATATTAAAGGTTTCACGATCAATAGAAAGATGGCTTCAAACAACGCTTAACTTGACCATGAATCCTTGTTCATAGTAAAAGACCTGTCTATGACCATATGCGTGTAAGCACATAGTGTCTCACAACGCAACATCGTTTGTATAATATAACTGTTTATAATTTTTTATACATTTGTATTTATTATACAACTGTACATGTCAGTTAAATGTTTTAAAATGTTATCTGTATTGGGTTCAAGGTGATTGACCGGCAGTTTAAAGGGCGACGCAAATATGTGTGTGTGTGTGTGTCTGTGTAGTCGACATTGGTGGTGAAATGTTTGGCTGTGGCGCTGACTGGAGCTGGTCGACATTGGCGGCAGACGTCGACGGCGCCGGTCACAGCACAAGTTTCTATGCAGTTTTAGTCAGTATGCATGTTTGTGATATTGCAGTTGGTCATATATGTGAACTACAAAGGTGCCAGGGTTGTCATGAAGTTGCTACGGCTGCCCTGACCAAGCAGAATAGTTCGACCTTTCATGAACAAATTATTTTGTTTGTCAACTCACTTTCCTCCCATAACTTCGCGTATGATACATTAATCTTGAGAAGCTTGAGTTTACAGCGAACAGACAGACACGATTGGTCACTTTGTTATAACCTATTACATCTTCCGTATGTGTGAGAAAAAAAAAATGACTTAATGCTAATGGTTAATGGTTAAACCAATGTTTTAACTTGTAACACATTCTGTAAACTTCGACATTGGCAGCCCTGTACTCCGTCCTTGCTAGATCTGAGTGTTAGTGGGCGTCGAAAAAACAAGTCTGTGCTAATTAGCTAGCTTAATTAATTAGCGCCGGTTACGAAACTACAGCTCATTACTAACTGGTCGAGCCGCTAGCGTCCTTATGCTGGAACATCTAGACTGGACAGTGAGGTCAGCACGTAAGACCTTTGGTTGGCTTGTCAAATTACTTATTTCGTAGATGTCAAGTAGATTAAATTGATTACTATTCATAAAAGTGCTTCAAAACAGTCCTTTTCGTTACTGTAACAGAGTGGCTGGCAAAAATGATCATGCAACTAGCCTTATTCTTTGTTGGTATGTTACCAAACTGCAGCCACATATTATTGTTGTAAAATGTTCCTCGTTTAGAAGTACCTTAAGACCAGTCTGTACGGATCAGTAAATTCTTGTTTTCTTTTGCGGTCTTCTCCCAGTCATGCAGTCTCTTTTGTGCCTTTAGCCTCTTTTCTGTTGAAAGTTGCGGGTATTATGTGTTTTATATACCGGGAGCCGGTGTTTCAACAGATAAAAGGTTAGGCTTAATCATTCTGTCTTCTGCTTTAATTCACCGAGGGAAGTAAAAACTAATCGTTTTTTTTCTGCTCCTCTATAATATCTTTGGCATCGGCATTACGAGATCCAAGAGAGTTATTCATGACCCTGTGTCGCGTCGGACTTCAGTGTTCCGTTGTTTTCATGGTTGTATCTTTTAGTGATTACTATAATATGCTTTCATAAGTTTCAATAGTTCCAGAAAAACTAATCTAGATTCTCCAGATCCTGATCCTGTCCTGGGTCTAGACCGGTCCAGGAACAAAACTGTTTACATCAACTATGTAGGACATAGTGCTTGTATTTAGTTAGATGTTAAAGATGTTAAGAGATTAAGTTTTTGGGAAGTTTCTGCACGATTGACGAACTTCTTTACACATACACGTTTCGATATTCACATACTTTACAATAACAACAATAATATAAATAAGAACTTTCCAGATTACAACAGCGGCAAGGGATCGCGTGTGTGGCGGAAGGGCCATGACACACCATACACAGTCCGATTGAATTGTAAAACCTAGAGCCATGCGCGTGCGCAATAAAATAATCCGCCGCCTGTTCAACTTGGACACGTCCACTACGACCTGACGTCCGTGTACTTGACATTTCTTTCGACATTCCTGTATTATATCAGTTGCATGCTCGTTATAGGTCAGTGCTCACTTTTGAAACCTTTGACTGCGATAGGTTAATACCTTATCGGATACCTAATGGGACAAGGCTTTAATTCTTACTATTCGTGACATGTGACTGATTTGACACTGTTTGTGTAGGGAGTCAGTAATATAGGCGTCTGCTTCCATTGTGTATTCTTAGAAAACGTCTGCTGTGTTGGACGTTTTATTAAAATCCTAATGAGAGACACGTATGGTGTAATGTCCAGATCTAATATTGTACGTATCTATCGATAAGTGACATGTCGCAACTTTGTTTCTAAGACTTTAAAGTATAAACCGCAGATCAAACTACACCGAAATATATACGTCAATTAGTAGATTTTCAACTTTATCGTTGTGTGATAAAGTTCCTTATCGGTCCCTGATAGTATGCCCTACAGTACGTGCTCCACTGGCCGACTGCTACCACTTATCATCGGCGCGTGCTTTCACAGCCGTCCACCCACTGAATGCACTTTCGCCACATTTGATTAAAACTTTCTTTTAATTAACTATTTAAATGGGTATTTCATTATTTGTATGCAACAAAGAAGTACCGAGCTCGGAATACTTAATTGATATACAACGTCAAGTAAGTAATTTAAAATTGTTTACTAAAGCAATTAATGCGTTAGGAGAAGCGACGAATAAAAGTACTTATACCGTGGTAAATACATTAATTTATTAAAATATTAAAAGGATCACTTACCTAAAGTAGGCAACAATCACAGAGCAACATTGACACACTGAGTACTGCAACTGGTCACTGTCTCGAGTGCACTTCCGAGTGTCGAGTGTCGAGCAACCGCGACTGGTTGCAGGTGCAAGCATGCAGGCGACGCCGTCGTACTCGAGCGACTGGCGCGCCCGCATCCAATGCTGCTGTTTTGTTCCACCATACAGAGATCCAGTTGATGTGATCGTAGTTCTAAGGAGATTCCTCAAATTGAGAAATATTTATTGCATAAGTTATTATGGCTCTCTTTGCTGTAATTCAATTCCAATGACTATTTCTGATTCAATGGCTATCGAATCGATATTAACGCTATACTATCCTTCACCCTTTTATAATGAATGACCTAGTAAGGTCTCTAAAAATGTTAACAATTAGACAGTTCAAATTCAGACTTGAAAAGTGTAATAAACCAGATATCGTTATTCGTTTGGTGTTTTGATTCCAATTGTAATGAATTCATATTATTACATATAGCCCCCACAAACCACGCTGGGCAGGGTGTGCCTGTGATGTGCACATGTACCAACAGTTTAAGAATTTGAAACAGTTTATCTGCATTAAAAGGGGAGCTTGTTGCCTCATATTGTACGAGTCAACGAGTTACTGAACTAGTCCCCTGAAATAAAACCCCTCCTGAGTTTTTGCGCCCAGCAATGTACCGCCACTACCATCTATCGTAATAAGATATTCTCATCCTAATGTGAATTTCTTTCTCGAAACTTCCATCTATTTTGGAAAGACGAGGTGAGTAGCCGAGGTAGCAGCTGGCGCGTGGCCGCTGCGCGCTGGTTGCACGTCCGCTGCACAGCGCGAGCTGAGCGCGCGGTCAAGGTCACGGCGTGCAGCCCTCTTATGTCACAGACACGGTGCTCCACTTCAAACACTCGCGGTTTTGTGGTCACGAGCTCAGACACGATGACACGATGATGGTGGTCGGAGTTCTTGTTGTAATCTGATGATGATAATTACTATCATCTAGTGATTTGTACAAAACGGATCACGATGATTTCCTTTACTTCGTCTTGTTTTCAGCTAGAACCTAATTCAGGAATTGAAAAGGTGACTGTTTTGTAGTTCAATCAGTCAGTTAACGAAATTAATCTTCTGCTTATAATATTATGGGTAAATAAGAGTAATTTGCTGCTGTCGTTTACATTGGCTTCTTATACCGACAGTTCTTAATCAAAAAGACCGGCCAAAATGCCACCTACGCACTGCCTTGCATAGGTTACATGTAAAACATTTGGTAACATTATGTTTTTTTATCATAAGACATAATAATTGTCATCCAAGCTGTATTAGTACTGAAGCCTTGATACGGGATTTGTTTGTTGACTTCTTACATAAGATCTTGTACTTCTGGTATTAAAGGAGTTGCATCTTCGAGTTCAGTGGCAGCCTTGGAGAGGTGCTCGTCTTCCGGTTGAATTAGCCAAGGAAATGGGTTTCTTCTTCATTCGCTAGACTTACGGATTTCCTTATCATCATGTGCTGAGTTTGTATAGCAAAATTGTGATGTATGATATGTTATTGGGAGGTGCAAGTACCTAGTCCATTTAGTTCATGGATGTGGTTCGCGTATAGAACGTATGTATACCCAAAAATCTAGACAAAAAATGTATCTTGAGTAACAATTGAACAGTCAGCATGTCTACATTACAAATTATAATTTACAGTGAAACCTGGTTAAGTGAGACATCAAGGGACCTGCAATGTCCTTTCACTTATAGAGGTATTCCACTTACCCAATGTCTCAGATATACAGGTATAAATAAATATCTGTCTCATTTACAGATAGTTTCATTAATAGAGGTGAGAATACAGGTTATTTCAGTTATACGGCATATTATATGGCACATTAAATTCGGCATAAACTTCTTCGAGTGTCTTCCCACTTTCATAAACCGATATTAACTTCAGTTTTTCACGTAATGATAACGATTGTAGCTTTCGTTTTGACATTTTTCAAATATACATCTGTATGATAGTAAAGCGAAACTAAAACTGAAGGTAATTGAAGCTCAAGATTTGTACTTACGTACTTGGAATTATGTGTGGAATTTGTAGGTAGAATAAGAATGAGTAAACAAACAATGTTATCTCAGTTACAGAAGTTTATGCATATAAAATTTACTCGCTGTTTCAGTTATAGAGGTAACTATGATGATAAATCGAAAGAACAAATCCCAGATATAGAGGTTTACCTCGTCCCACTAACAGAGGTAATTCAGTGCCAAAGTGTTGGGACCTCAGCATGAGTTCCAGTTATGGAGGTTTCTCACTTATCCAGGTCCCACTTAACCAAGTTTCACTGTAGTACCCTTCCTACCCCTCGTATCATTATACACTTTAAACAGGGACTATACAATAATACCTATATAAGTAAATAAAATCATTCCAGAAAAAGTGTAGCGCTTTGTTTTCTCTTAGTTGCGCAATCGTTGACGCAATAGGTGCGGTTAAATTTAGTTTGTCGAGGTACCCAATTACCCATCTATTGTCAATTATCCATGATTCCTAGGATGGCATGGTGGCTGTGTTTTTGTTTGGAGCGCGGAAGACGCGAGGTCACCGCCATGTTTCCGCGTTTCCCGCCGAATTATCCGTGAAATGTCGCAGAGCGGCGCGCGCCGTGACGGCAACATGGCCGCGCAATATGGCCGACGCGACGTTTGGGTGCTGTCAGCTTGACATTGTTGGTCGACAGGTAATTGTTTCGACACAGGAAGATTAGGTAAATACGTGAAATTACCGACTGAAATTAGGACTTAATTTGTATTAGATTGCCAGTCGGTAATACGGTAATTGGATGCTTAATTAGCTGCCGATTTCAGAAAATTCAGTCTAATGAGGATTACTAATGAAATGTTTAGCACTTAATTTAAACATACCAACAGTACATACATGGCACAGAAGTGAGTGAGTGAGTCACTTGTAACTTTAATTTACTTGAGGTTTAATAAAGCTTGCTAAGGTACCTACGTATTTAACATAAACTCATTAAAAATTCTTATTAGGTAACCGAGATTTAGATAAGAAATATTATTTAAAATAGGCGGCGACCAATTGACACGAAGTCGATGTTCTAATTTGTTTTTATTTTCATAAAGTTATTATAATGAGTATAAATTTCATCCAAGGTTCAGTTCCAGTTGGCTAGTTTACGGCCACGCGATGTCTCTAGGATCATGAAGTTGGGTAGTTAGGAGAAACAGACAATGTCTATCCGAAGTTGGACCAGGATGCCACATAAGGACCTAAAACGTGTGACTTAGGCACAGGTCATCATACATTTATGGTCATACATTGAATATGTAACTTGTAGAATATTCTCGTAGTAACTAACCCCCGTGGTAGGTCCCGGGTATGACGCACGGCCCCCCGGAGCTCTGCTCATTTGCTGTCATTACTCGGTATTACTCGTAATACCTCATATACAACCTCATTTGTCGTAAAACTAAGTGTAAAGGGTAGGTTACTACTATTCGATGTTAATAAGGCTTACGACTGAGTTAAGTTTGTTTGTCATTGGTAAGACACTCATTATATTATGCTTGGTTTTGGTGTAGACTAATATGTCTATTTAAAGTCAAAATTAATAACCGAGCTCGATCCAAAATATGTGGATCAACGTTGGTCAAAGATCAACCTATATTAGAACTTTCGTGAGACATACTAAATTAATACGCTCGGGTCTGGTTCTGGTCGGGCGGCGAGCTACCCATGCTCGCCATCCGCAGGCCCGTATTTACGGTGGCCGGAGATCGTCCCGCGATCTCCGACGCCCGGAGTGTCCTTCACGGCGGCTGTGCTGCGAAGAGGCAGCGCTTCGCTGCCTCACGCGCCCCGCCTCCCCCTTAGCTGGCATAACTGCTTCGCAAAAGGAGGAGACGGCATCCCAGGCCTCTTCGCTCCGCATCATGGCCCGGACTAGGGTCGGACGCGAGAGGTCACCATCGCCGATCACATTCCTGAGGGCACGGTGGTACTCAGCACACGCAGGGCATTTTCCTACTGTCTGTTCCACCATGTCCTCAGAGCGGTCCTCGCAATGATACCCGGGCCAGACAGCCAGAAGCTCCCATGTCCGGTAAAGACCTGCGTCAGGCGGCAGGTGGCGGCACGTCTCTTAAGCCACTCCTCAAAGAGGGGACTGCAATGGGCAATGGCAGCGAGCCCACTAGGTTTTTGACAGAAACTTAATATCTACCTAGAAGTCTAAATTAAAAAGCTTTTTATTTGTATCACTGTTGGTATTTTGTGTAAGTTGCCAGTAAATTTCTTAACCATACGTAGACGTGTTTGCAACCACAAGATTAAAAAACAATGGAAATCTTGTGAAATAGGAGGCTGGGGCTTTCCGACTTAAAAAGTCCCTCAGCTATAATTATATTATTTACACTTACACAACTATATCATATCGGAATTATTTAGAATATTTATGTCTAGGTACGTATAATTTAATTTAAAAAAATCCCCGCGTTACGGGCTTGTGTTAATTTTAATATTTCATATCTACGTGAGTAACTTTTGTCTTTTTATATTTTTTTAGGTATCTATCTACCTACATACAAAGGGTAAAGTGTGTAATTTTCACGCAATTTATTTTTTAGTTTCTGTCAATTAAATATTATCTCTACAGTCTACACCTTAGCTATTGTAGATATTTATTATTTGTATGTATGACTGTTCGTACTTAATAGCGTACTTAATATAAATAATAGCATTCTTGTTTTGTTTAAGATTTCAGACGTTATCCTACGGATTCTTGGTTGAACTTGAATCCCTGTTAAGTTTAAACCATTGACTATGTTGTTAGTCGATTTATGTATGTGCAACTGCCGAATAAGGTGCGATCTGTTTCCCGGGCTGAGAAAAATATTGTTGAGGTTTTAAGAGAAATCGTTAATTGTAATACTTATAGTACGTAGGCAGTTTCGCTCTCTTTTACGTGAGACTGATAATTAATTGACGAAAAGCGATCGTTGCAGCTAGTATGCATCCTTAATTATTCCTCTAATAATAATAATTATTTCCTCTAAATTTTATTATCAGAATAATAAAGCGTGATATTACAAAAATAAAGTTTTGTGAGATATTTTATTTTAACGCCATCTATCCATAATATACTACATTAATACACTAATGCCATCTAGTGTGTAATAGCTAAACTTTTTACAATGTATGTCTAACCCTGAGTTTACATAGTTCCGCTATTGGTCACTAGATGTCGTTCG